AAAAATAAATAAACGTTGAAAAAAAAAAAAATTAAAAAAAAAAAAGAAGTCATGGTCTTCCAAAGGTTGTGAACTCAATACGAGAGCTGTAAACAAAAGAGGCAGTAGTAAGACATGACACTCAAGACACAAGCCCACCAAGCGCCCAGATATGGCGGCACCAGCTCTGCGGGACTGGAACCTGCCTTTGCAAAGCTCACGTGACAGCTGGTAGTTTTCACCGTTTTCAAACACTTGCTCTGAACGGAGAGGAGACTCCTCCAGATGCTCATTTCCTTCACGGATTAAAACAACAACAACCCGATTTTAAATGGCCATTCAAGGTTATTTGGGAAAGAACATCAACGTGAAGACCGGAGGTCAGCCGAAAGATTCGTCTGATTTACCAGGATCCAAGGCAATCGGACGCATAATCCAGAATTTGGTCGCTGATCTTCAAATAAAAACAGATTCCTTGGGCTCAGCCTGCAATGCTGGGGATCCACCCAGGAGATCTTCCTACGTTTCACGTTCCGTACATAATTAAGTAAATCTTCACCCAAAGTGAACAGCCAACAAATGCAAAAAACCTAATCACACCCTACTCTGCCATTTCCCAGCACTGTGGGAGAAGGAAGATTCCCTCCTTTGTGAAGTTCAAAGTCAACACACAACAGCCACCCAACTTGATGAGAATTGTGCCCGTCTTTCTTTGGTTACTACAACTATTTATCTTTTTAGTATGAGGTTACTATTTTTCCCCCCCAAAAAATGTTTTGCAAAAACCAGGGCACGGAAATTCTAAAGCACAGACAGTCTACCATGGTGCTGCTATTTCAAGAAATAAAGAAATTCTGGGAAGATAAGGATCAAAGGACAAAACGCTCCGGGCATCATCATTTTCTAAAGCAGGCGCCTCTCAAACTATCTGTGGTGAGGAATCACTTTTTCTTTGATTTTTAAAAATTTTTTTAATGTTTACTTATTTTTGAGAGAGAGAGAGAGAGAAAACATGAGCAGGGAGGGGCAGAGAGAGAGGGAGACACAGAATCCGAAGCAGGCTCCAGGCTCCGAGCTGTCAGCACAGAGCCCGGCGCGGGGCTCGAACTCACAAACCACGATGAGATCATGACCTGAGCTGAAGTCAGACGCTTAACCGACGGAGCCCCCCCAGGCGCCCCTCTTTAATTTTCATTACATTCAAAATACAAGCTCCACTTCGTTATTCCCAGATCCTAATGGACATAAAATTACTCTTGTGAACTGGCTGACCGAAGTTTCTAAATGCTTCCTCTCAACCTCTACGCCCGTCACAGACCGGGAACGGCCCCGCAGACCGCACGCCTGGAGTTGCTCCGGCCAAAGGTATCCTTGCTTATTCAGAACTGGAACTCCTATCTTATAGACGTTGTATCAGAAATGCAGTAAAGTCCACCCGACCTTTCCGCAGAGTTCTAGAAAGTAAATATTGACAGAGAAAGGCGGAGATCACAAAGAAAAGTCGGTGTCTACAACCCTCAACAAAAGAGCTCACCCCTACCGGAGGCCACCTGTACTGTCGCCTTACCCAGCTTTACTTTATCTGAGGCAGAAAAGCACTGAACTCGGTCGGCCGTCTGACGACCTAAGCGGGGGTGGTTCGATGCAGACCCTCGGGGGATCCGCAGAGGCGAGGTACGTGCCCCGTTCCGTCCCTTCCTATTCTGGGCCTTGAGAAAGTCACTCGATCTTCTGCTTTGAGGTTCCCATCAGTGACAGGGAGGCGGCACATGAACCGCCTCCCTCTTTGGGACGTGTGAACTCCCAGCTGTCGTGGAGGAGACCGACAGGGCAAACAGGGAGAGGGCATGAGGGGAACACGTGCATGTGCGTGTGTGTGCACATGTGCACGTGTGTGTGTGAAACACTAGTCTCTTTCACGCTACATCCCCCCCTCCCACCACACATTGTAAACCCTTTAAACGCAAACCGCGTACTTTGAATGCCTTAAGCCATTAAGCTCCTAGTGCTATCAGCCTTCACCACAAAGAAAGTAATAATGAGGATTTAGGCAGCCCCACGGATCCTTTCCAGCTCTTTGAAAGCTCCCACCACAAGCTCTTGCAACCTGAACTCAGCCCAGTGTTTGTTTATCGCTAACATCACCGGGGCTCCCGCCACCACCATCGACAGGCCCCTCCACTCTGGGTTCACCCCCGTGTTTCCATTCGGACCCTGGGCCATCCCAGCCTGTCTCGTGTCCACACGCTTTCCCTGCTCCAAAGCACTGCTGGGTTCCTTGCTGCGGGAAACACTCGTTCGCCCTAAACACTGGCCATCAGGGGGCCTAACCTCCCATCTCTTCCTGCTTCAAATCCCGCTTCTGGTGTTTTCTGCGAGTGACCTGTAAAAGTCTCTGGGTGGAGCCTGAGCTGAGGCTTCTCACATTCAGAGTATTTCGGGTCAGGAAGGTGCACAGGAGGTCAACCCACATCTGAGCAGTGAATGTTCTCCTCAGCATCAAAGCCAGTCACCCAAGGTAAGTTTGATTTCCCTCAGTGACGGGGATCTCAATCTGTCCCAGGGCAGTTCGAATGGTGTGCAAATTGTCCTTCATTCTGAGCTGGGAGAGCCGAGCCGGAGGGTGTCGGAGCTGAGCTCCAGCGTCAGGTTTTATTCAGCCTTTGCCCACACGCTTCGGTGTTTTATAGAACCCACCAAATCCTTCTCTCACACGACAGCCCAAGAGATAGCCGAGGGCCATCTTCTCCAGACTAGCCCCGCGTGACATGGCTTCCTAGTTCCTCAGTACTCTCGTCACCCGCCTCTGGACATGCTCTCCTAACCCACCTAGGTCCTGGGATCCTCCGCGCTTGGAGCATGTCCGCGCATTCCGTTCCATCCCTTTCTTCCCTTCCTGAATGGCAGAGACACGGCCTCCCGGTTAGTTGGCTCAATGATCCCAGACAACATAGAAAGGCACGTACAGATGGAACTAACACAATAGCGCCCGTGGTCAGGCGGCCAGCACGTGCACGCGGTAGACCACCTTGTCCGCGGTTTTGCTCGCCACGGTTTCAGGTATCCGCGGTTGACCTCAAGCAGGAAGCAGACGATCCTCGTTCAGACACAGCGTCAGAGGTCAACAGCAGCCTAACGCCACGTCGCAACTCCGCGTCCTCGCCTCATGTCGCCTCACCACGGAGGGCATTTTAACCATGTGACGTCACGAAAGAAGGGTGCGTGCAGGACAGGAAGATATTTTGAGACAGAGACCACATTCACCTAACTTTTCGACAGTATGTGGTGATAACTGTTCTATTTTATTGCTAGTTATCGCAGCTAACCTCTTGCCGTGCCTCATTTATTAACTGAACTTCCTCACGGGCAGGTCCGTATGGGAGAAAACAGTGCACACGTAGGGTTCGGTACTATCCACAGCTGCAGGCATGCACTGGGGGCCTTGGAGTGTACCCACCGTGGCTAAGAGGAGACTACTGTATTTCCTGTTACCTCCCATACACTCAGGTCGGCCCCACTGTGCACAGGACAATAAACACAGCACCGACCTACAATGAGAATCTCAGGGCCGGTGTTCTGACAAGCCTATGCGCTGCCTTTATTGTAGTTTTAAAAAAATTTGTTCATGTTTATTTCGTTTTGAGAAAGGGAGAGACAGAGCGTGAGCAGGGGAGAGGCAGACATAAAACCTGAAGCAGGCTCCGAGCCGTCAGCCCAGAGCCCGACGCGGGGCTCGAACTCACGGACCGCGAGATTGTGACCTGAGCCGAAGTCGGACGCTCAACCGACGGAGCCACCCAGGAGCCCCTGTAGTTGTTTTTAACACAGGACACCAGCCTCTGTTCCTCCTCTGATTGCTCCTGTCCTAATCACAGTCCCTTCCTCATGTTGGTGCTTTGGACATTACCATGCACAAGGATGGCAAGAAGAACCACACAGTACTCCTTCTTCCCAACATACTAGCTGAGTCCACATTGAATCACCATTTATACAGCACTTCATAATTTACAATGATTGATTTTAGCCTCCAGGGAAATCTTGAGGTGCTATCCTTGTTTCATAGAGGAGGAAACTGAGGCAGACCCGTAACTCGAACCGCAGGTGTCTTCTGATTTCCGATCCGCGGTCACGTGTCCTACCTCCTGCTCGCCCAGGAGCTCGCGAATCTTAGAAGAAGTTTTCTAAAGTGAAGTTCCCAGGATCGAATAATGAATCACAGAGGAAACCAAAAAAAAAATAAAAATAAAAATAAATAAATAAAGCAGAGGAATCTGGTTTCCATTTCTGGCTTTGCTATAAATTAACTCATACTTTGACTTTCTTGGTCCTCAGTTTCCTCCTTCATAAAACAAGGGGACTGAATTAGACGATCCCAAAAGTGCCTTCTGCTCAGCTGTCTTTTGTCTCCTGCCCTGTCTCTGCTCCACTGCTAAAATTAGGCAGAAAACATTGTTGAAATACCTTTCGGTTTTTGTTTCTCATGTCTCTAAAGTCTCTAAGATTAGCCGGATAGTATATCCACATACAAAAAAAAAAAAAACAAAAAAAAAAACAAAAAACCTACTATCTCTTTAATAGTTAATTTTGAAGCAGTTCGTTTTCTGTGATGAGGATGTAAATCTGGAAACACCAACCACAGGGCTGTGCCCACAAAAGTCCTCGTCCCAGGAGGACATCCTTAGAGCCACGTATTCTTATAGCGGTGGCTCTCGACCCAGGGCACACATGGTAAGGTCTGGAGACCTTTCTGGTTGTCACAACTGGGGAAGATGCTTTAGGAATCTCGTGAGCAGGGGCCAAGGACACTGCTAAGAACCCTGTGACGCAGAGGACGGTCCCCCACCACAGAGCTGTCTGGCCCAACCTGTCAGCAGTCCGAGGTTGAGAAGCCCTGTCGGAAAGGAGTCAAGTCCAAGAGCGGCCCCAGACTCTTCCTGGTGCTTTAGCTAATGCGGCGCACGCGAGAGGCTAACCAGGCGGGCTCGTCCGAAAGAACCGAGGCTCTGGGACGCCCCTCTTACCTGGCGAAGAAGGAAGCGGCCACCGAGGTGCCTGTGGAGGTCTCGCTGGCCACGCAGGAGCCCTGTGAGGCCGGGACGCCGCAGGCCGAAGGCTTGTCTGCATTGTAGCGATTCAGCGCTGCCTCGGTGAGGCCCTCCCGGCCCGTCTCCGTCATCAGCTGGGAGATCTGACAAGGAAAACAGACACTGAGCTCAATACCTGTGGCTCATTGCACTTCCCCAGCACCGCTGACGGCATCCCTCTCTGCTGGGGCAAGCGGGCCCCAGGGCAGGTGGGGAGGGGGCACTGTGGGGGCTCAGGGCCTCTCAGAGGCTATTTTCTAGCATTCTAGCCCCGGGGCACCTCCTCATTTTCATTAAAAATAATGGAATAAAATCACCCCCCTGACACTGTTGAGTTTTGATTATGCCTGTGTTTCCTGTCCATTTGGAGAGGAAAGCCTGAGCCATTACCACGGTTTGCGGCCCAAGACCAGAGTAGAAACATCAACTGCTGGCCCAGATGCTGATAGACAGGTGGGGCAAAGATATCATTAAAGGAGAGGTGAGCCTGCTAACAAAGTGAGGAGTTAATTAAAACACTTGTGGTTTCGGGGAGCAGTCAGCAAACAGCACCAAGAGAAGCTCAGAGAAACGGATACAGCCCCCATGGATTACCAAGTGGTCCCTTTTTGGAGGATTTCAACCATTTCAACAGACTTGATTTTCCTACTCATTCATTAAGATAAATGGCTTCCATTTTATTTGCAATGGTCCTCTGGATGGGGCTGGGTCTGTTTTACCAAAGCCCACAGGATACGCTAGGAAGAACCATACTTGTGGGCAAAATGAGAATCTTATGTAGAAATATACTTTCAAGGAGTGCTAATTCCACGACAAATGTAATAATTATGTGGGCAAAGCCTAAGCATGCTATTTGGAAAGCCTGTTACTTTAAAACTTCAGCCCATGCACAAAAGGGAAAAAAAATGTTAGTTTTACAAAAGAAAGAAAGAGAAAAAAGAAAGGAAAAGAAAGGAAAGAAAGAGAAAAAAGAAAGAAAAAGAAAGGAAGGAAAGAAAAAAAGGAAGGAAAGAAAGAAAAAGAAAGAGAAAAAGAAAGGAAAGGAGAAAAGAAAAGGAAAGGAAAGGAAAGAAGGAAGGAATAAAGAAAAAAACAAAGAGAAAGAAAGAAAGAAAAAGAAAGGAAAGGAGGAAAGGAAAGAAGGAAAGAAGGAAGGAGGAAAGAAAGAAAGAAAGAAAGAAAGAAAGAAAGAAAGAAAGAGAAAGAAAGAAAGAAACTTTAGTTTAAAAAAAGAGTCTGCAGCCAGTTCAAGCCTCTTAAATGCTGAGTGGAAAATCCTTCTAATTGCCTAGAAAATACAAGTACAATAAAGCAAAGATCAGGAACAGTTTCCACTTTGTAACTGAGCAGGCCAGGAGGCCAGTGAAAGCGTCCCATTTGTTAACCTTTGAACATAAAAACATTTGTACTTTTCATTATTACCAGAACAGCCATTACTCTGAGGTCCATTCACTTGAAACTTTGCTTAAATTCATGCTCTTACTTGGAAAGCTTTGGCATTTGCAGCTGAAATTTTGCCAACACATACTTTCTTACTCTCATTCATTCAACGGGCTGTTAGGAAACCTGACCCACGTAAGAGGGCCCAGGAAGGAGGCGGCAAAAGTAGCCCATGGCCTGGAGAACATTCCGTGCACTCAGCAAGGGCTGCTGCCCATGCTGGGGGCCTGTCACCTGTCCTTGGGCTTCTGCTACTGTCTGCGGGGTGAGGGCTCCGCTCGACCAGCTGCCGCCACTAAATAGCACTTATGAAGCTCCCGTGGTCCAGGGCGCCGTCCCCAACCACGTCCAAAACTATGCCCAGAACCCACAGCACCATCTTGCTTCATGAGGTAGCTACAATCTACCATACACACGCTGGTTCGGCGCACATGTGATGGCAGTCAGGATAGCAGTGAGTGAATGCACCGCCAAATGTGGTACCAAGTATGTCCGTAGGCTCACGAACGCGGCTGTCACCTGATCTCTGCCTGCGGTGTTTCCTTTTCATTTCTGAAACTCTTCTGCCTCCCTGTGTAAGAAAGGCCCTTGCAGGTGCCCTACAAACCCACAGAGAAGCCACCAGGATGTGGGCGGCGAATGGCGAGAGGCCTGACACAGAGGCACAGGCTTCTAGGTGCTTCCAGGTCCCCGAGTCTGGCCCGGGATGAATGCAAGCATCCTGTGGGCTCGTGGCTTTCAGGAATGTCACTAAACAGATGAACTTCAATGCACCGTCCTCCTTAAAAGGCAGCTAGCTGCTGGCTATCTTTGCCGGGCAAGATTGGATCTCTCTTTTCAAAAAAAAAAAAAGTAGGGATTCGTGGACACGGGACACTCCATTCCCAAACCTGTAAGTAGAATTATTCAATAATCGATGGTTCTTAGAAATCAGAAACACAGAATGACTTAGAGCTAGAAGGGACCGCCAAGATCCTCCCCTTCAAAACCCCTTTTCTTACGTAAGGAAAACAGCGGCACAGAAGTGATTCGCCCAAGACAATGTGAAACTGAGCACAGGACCCTGACGCTCAGGCCAGTCCTAGCCCCTCTTTCGCTCCTATACTCTCTCTCTTCCTCCCTCCCTTCCTCCTAATTAAAAATATTTTTAAACAGATACCAAAAAACATCAAATAATAATAAAACACAGACAGGTAGATCCAGTAACATGATCAACGCATGTTAGCATTTTACATATCTCAGAAAATATTTTTTTAAGTGTCTTTATTTATTTTGAGAGAGAGGGTGAGCACAAGCAAGGAAGGGGCAGAGAGAGAAGGAGAGAGAGAATCTCAAGCAGGCTCAGCACTGTCAGTGCAGAGCCCGACTCGGGGTTCGAATTCACGAACCGTGAGATCATGTCCTGAGCTGAAATTCAGTTGGACGCTTAACCGACTGAGTCACCCAGTCACCCCAGAAAAAAAAAATTTTTTTTTTTTGAAGAAACCAAACGCTATATAAACTTGAAACTGTCTAGGTCCCTGGTCACACTGCCCTTCCTCCCGGCACCCCGATTTCAGACACAGTGTGAGGATCTGGGTGGGGGGCAGTCCATGCCTTCCATTGCATCCCCTTCCCCCTCTAAGAGCTTGGCTGAGCTCGCTTTGTGCTTTCTCTCGAGCATTCTCCGGTTTTTGTTCTGCTTGTTCCACAATGGGAAGAAGGGTCCCCCCCAAACGCCTGCTCCTTTAGGCGCTGGCCACCAGTAAATTCACGTTTTCATTGGTGTTTATGCCCAATAGCCTCTCCAGGGATTGTAAGCTTTCAGAAATAATATACAAATAAGCTACAGAAATAGCTACAGTCGTTCCAACTTATCTCCTCTCACTCTCTGCCCGACAGGGTTCTGGACTTCCTTAAGCTCCTCAAACATACCCACTGCTCCTCTTGCCACAAAGTCTTTGCACATGCCTTCGCGCTCGATCTGGAATGTTTCTACGTTTTGTTCACATCCAAGCTCAAGAACTACTTCCTCAGAGAAGCATTCTTCCAGACTCCTTCCAGCCTCTGGTGGATGCTGTTACACAGGGGTGGTCTCTTCCTTCAGTGTCTTTACCCGGGTTCCGATGATGCATTTAACCAAAGATCACTGTTTCTCAAAACCCTAGGACGGTGGGACTGGGGTTGGTGTGCCCACCACTGTGTCCATGAAAATCAACCCAGTGCCTGGCACGCGGAGATGGTTAAAACATGTTTGTGGAGTAAATCTGAGCAATTCTGATTTTCTCCTTATTCTCTACATGTATCTAATGAAATCTTTTTTCCTTAAGTCACTGAAGTAAGAAGACTTGGTTCCTGTTATGGCTTTCCTATTTTGTTGGACTGTTGGGACACGGCAGGATTTTCCCCCTTGCCTGTCAGCACCCAAGTGTAATGTTTTGGTTCCACTGTGTGCTAGTTTAGGGATGAAAAGCTGCCTCCTTTAGAGTCTACAGATTCATTTGCTCATCTCTTCATGGAAACAACCATGTATTGGGTACTTAGTATGTATAGCTACTGTGCGAGGCCCCTTCCCTTCCCCTCCCTTCCCTCCCCCTCCCTTCCCGTCCCCTCCCCCTCCCTTCCTTTCCTTTCCCTCCCCCTCCCTTCCTTCCCCTCCCCTCCCCTCCTTCTTTCCTTCCCTCCTCCTCCCTTCCCTTCCATTCCCTTCTCTTCCCTTCCCTTCCCTTTCCTTCCTCCCTCTCTCCCTCCCTTCCTTTTCTTGTTGCCTAGAACCCACTGGAAGTCAATAAGACTGTACAAAGACAGTCCATAAGGCAGCTGGCCTAAAGCAACTTGTATTATCTCTGTTTAGCCAAATCTTTGCCATTCTGAAAAATGGTGGAGCTAGACTTGTTCTTAGGAAAAGCAGCTCTCACTGCTTTAATTTAACAATTAAAGTCATATCCTTTCTAGGGACGCCCGGGCGGCTCAGTCGGTTGATTTCGGACTTTCCCTCTCGCTCTGCCTCTCCCTTGCTCTCTCTCTCTCTCTCTCTCTCTCTCAAAAATTAAACTTTAAAAAATCATATGCATTCTAGAGCATTCTGAGAGAGAGGGAGCCCCCTTGTTAGATCAGCTATCATCTTTCACACACATGGTTGCCAGGAGTTCTTCATACTGAGGTTCCGTCATGCTTGGCACCAAGAATTTACTTTGCCTCAAGCCTGCCAACTACCCGTAGGACAATACCGTAAGTTGTAAGTGGATTGTTCCATTACAGAAGAAACAAAATAATGAAAGATGATGAAATTTGGCAACGAGAGAGCTGTTCCCACTCAAATTCTGTCTGTGACTCTGTGAAACGGCAATAGCCAGTCACTGGATTGGTTCTCCACCAAGCAGAGAAGGCTGAAAGACCCGTATCTATGACAATTACATCATCAGTAATAAGGATGCCCTGATATCTGTCTACCCCTCTGGCTTTGATAAACCTCTTCTCCTACGAGCCTCATCGGAAACCATCATTATTGGGTTAGGTAGACAGCTTGGCTATCATTCCCATTTCGCAGATGAGGAAACAGATCCGCAGGAGTTGTTTACGTAATAGCTTCAGCACCAGGCAGATTCAGAGAAGTAAACTTGGCCTAGTCATTGGCCTCGGGAGATGTAAAGAAGCCTCTCTGGAAAAACTTGCTGTCGTCGGC